AGCTGCTGCAGGTGTGACAGGACACTCAGGCTGCAGCTGCTGCAGGTGTGGGCAGGACACTCAGGCTGCAACTGCTGCAGGTGTGGAGGACACTCAGGATGCAGCTACTGCAGATGTGGGCAGGACACTCATGCTGCATCTGCTGCAGATGTGGGCAGGACACTCATGCTGCATCTGCTGCAGGTGTGACAGGACACTCAGGCTGCAGCTGCTGCTTTATGGTGGCCACAGCTGCACTGCTGCCATCCAACCTGTTGTCCCCGCAGGATAACAACATCGTGTATGCCTCCATTGCCCACTCAAGCCCAGCCTCCCCAGGAACACCACCCTGCCAGCCCGTCCATGGGAACCCCCAGGAAGAGACTGTGTACTCAATCGTAAAGACCAAATGAGTGGGTCTGGGTGACGATCTCAGAGTCGCCTGTGTTTCTAGTGGGAAGACTCCCAGCTTCCACAGATACCCACAGCCAGAGACAACATCTCATGGGTCCCTGATACCCATGGCCAGAGACAGAAATCCACACATCAGGGCGTTTGAGCTCAGGGAAAATCAGAAATTCTCAGTTCTCTTTTTTAACTTCCTAAACCTTTCTCACAAAATAAAATAATCCACAGAATTTGCCTAAATGAATCTAATTAAGAGTCACATCCCCTCCTCTATCACTTTTTTCTGGTTGCCCAATTCAGGGGATGCCCCAAATGGTGGCAGCCAGTCTACACGATGTACACCCACATCTGGGAGGGTAATAACCACCACACAGTGACTGGTTCCCATGGACCACCACACTGAACATCAGCAACAAACTAGATAGATGGTGTGAGACAGGGAACTAAACACTGATGGTTACAATGCTTTCCTAAGGCCATCTTGCTCCCAGGAATTCAGGGAGTCAGGACTCACAGACTAGCTTTTCTGAAGGCCTGGGTCCTGCTGCTTTCCCCAGCCTCCTATACCTTCCAGAGAAGGCAGTTTGCCATAGCGACATGAAAGGAAGCAGAGCCTAAGCAGTGGACCCAGAGACCTGCTTTATTACCCATGGTGCACAGCTCTGACTTGAAGCCTGGAGCAGGTCACCAACCCCAACATTCAACATCTGCTCAGGATCACTGAGAGGCAGTCAGCAGTAGAAGGACCAGAGCACACTACTCCTCAAAGAGGCCCGCCAGGAACTCTTCTGAGCCATCCCTCTGCTGCGACTCCCCTCTCTCCTCTGCCTCTCCAGTGTCTTCCATGAGTTGTTCCAAGTCCAGGTCACTGGGACCATCATCTTTAGGGGGGAATCTTGGTATTAAAACAGAAATTAAAACCATGGTGAGTAAAAAACCTACAAATGAAAAGAATATGTCTAGAAAAAGCTGCAATAAAGGAGGAGAAAGATCTGTACCCTAAAAACAGAACAGTGCTGAGAAGTTACACAACAGCCAGGACATAGCTCAGTGGGTAAAGTGCTCACCCAGAAACACAGGACACGGGTTCCATCCCCGGGACCCACTTAAATGCTGGCCATGTTGGCAGACATGAGGACAGCTGAGATTGTAGGATCCCTGACGCTGACTGTGCTGCCAGCCTTGCCCAATCAGTGAGAAGCCAACAACAGACCCGTCTCAAAAACATAGATGAAAGCTCCTTCAGGACAGAACCCAAGGTCCTCCTGCCTGTGCAAGGCTTTCCTGAGGGAAACATCACTCTAGATCCCTTGCATCCCTCTCATAACAAATTTCTTCAAGCATCCTCTCAACCATCCATACATGTGTGCACACATGCCAATGTACATACTGATGAAAAATAAATTTTAAAAGGAGGGAAATATTAAAATATGTAAGGATATTAGCATAAGGGAAAATTTTATACATTAAGTCCTTACAATGCAAAACACTCTAAAAAGTCAATGCAATCTGAATTCAAATCCCAACTGAATTTTATAAAAATAAATGAATTGTCTTCTAAAATTAACAAGGATTCTAAGAAACAAACATGGGGACACAGTAGAGGACACCCTCAACCCAGCATTGGGAATTACAGAGAGTAGAATCGAGAGTTCAAGGTCATCTGCAGATACATAGCAAACTGCAGGTCAACCTGGGCTCCTGGAGTCTTTGTGCTCACACAACACAAGAGCCAAGTGTGGACTGTGTTCAGATCATATTTAAATCCATGGTGACTAGAAGACTGCAGGACAGGAGCAGATATGAGCAGAGAGTGGAGTGTAATAGAGAGCCCAGAAATAAAGTTTGAAGATGTATCCCTGGTCTTCAGAAGGGCCCAGCCCTCCAATAGGTAAGAGAAGCATCTGAAGGCTGGGGAGCAGCAGCCTGAGAGGCAGCAGAAGTCTGACTGGGATTCAAACCCTGAGGCTGCACTCACAGGGAAAGCCTGAGAGCCAAAGGGAGACAAAAGGGAGGCGTGGTGAGTGCAGAGCAGGGAAAGCAGGGAGGAGACATGGGTTCAAGACAGGGGAAGGAAGCAGAGGGAGAAGGACATGGACAAGGGGCAAAGGACCAGGAGAGCTGTCCTCTGATTGGCTGTGCTGTGCAGAAGGACAGCTGAGGACTGTCCTCAGGTCCTGGTGACTCTCAGAGCTGTCCCTGAATGTCTGCTACAGAACTGTTTGCTGCCCTGGCCCCCTGATGTTGTCTGAACACAGAGAAGAGCTGAGAGGCAGATGGAGGGTCAGCATGGCTGCCACACTGACACTGTTTCTTCTCCTACAGGCCAGCAGACTAAAGATGAATCCCAGCCATGGAGAGCCTGTCATCCCAAGGAGCAGCTGAGGGGCTGTGTGGTGATTTGAAAAAGAATGACCCCCATAGGCTCAAGGATTGGTATGTTTTGTCACAAAGCAGTGGTGCATAGGATGTGTGGCCTTGGTAGAGTAGGTGTGGCCTTTTTGGAGGGATTGAGTCAGTGAGGGTGGACTTTCACACTTCAAATCCTCCAGCCAGGACCAGTGTCTCCCTCTCTCTTCCTGCAGTCTGCTCTCTGAATGTAGAATGCTCAGCTACCTCTCCAGCACCATGCCTGCATATGTACCACCAACCTTCCTACCTTGGGGATAATCAACTAACCTATTGAAACTGTAAGCCAACCCCAATTAAATGTTTTCCTTTATAAGAGTTGCCGTGGTCATGGTGTCTCTTCACAGCAACGAAACTTTGGTTAAGACAGGCTGTTTGGGGAATTTTTTTATGAGAGGCATGCAAGGCATCTGGAGAGATAATTTCACCAGAAAAGCCTTGCACACAGGCTGGAGGACCTGAGTTTGATTGGGAGCACCCTCAGTATAAACTAGGGAGGTGATGGAAATTTGTAATCCCAGCCATGGACAAGCAAGAGACAGCCAGAGTCATGGAGCTGTCTGTCAAGCTAATCTAGCCTAACTGCCGAGTTCCAGAAAAATGAGACACCATGTCATAAAAAATAATGTGGATTCCTCAAGGGAATAAATCATGGTCATAACATTTTCCAAATTAATTTTAAAAACAAGTATTTAAAAATTACAAATCAATGGAGAAAAGTGGGGAGCAGATTGAAAGCTCAGTGTGAAAGGGTGTTGGCAGCCTAGCCCAATGATCTGCATTTGATTCTGGGAACCCAAATGGTGCAAGGAGAAAACTGACTCTGGAAAATGTTTCTCTCCTTCTAGAGACAAACATTGTCTGTCAGTCCCCAGCTAACAGACCTCCAGGGCCGTGAACTCTCACCAGGGAGGTCAGTTTACATCAAAGTGGGGATTGATGGCCACACATCCTGCATCTCACAACTTCCCTGTCTCCTGCCTGGGAATCAGGGAGCATGGGAGCAGTCTTGTGCTGGGACACATCCTGTCCTTGGATAGGTACAAGAAGAGAACCCCCACTTCGGCCATGTGGGCTCTGATGTCCTGTGTCTGTCTCTGGTCCTGAGAGCACAACGCTGCTGTTCCTGTCTGTCCCTGGAGCTATCAACCCTTTTTCTTTTTTAAGCACAAATTGCTAAACAGTCTTATTAATAAAAAATAAAAACCCAGAGCCAGTTATTGGGGTGAAAGCTGAAAGATCAGAGAATTAGAAGAAGCCAACCACTAGTTCTTACCTCTAGGAAATCCTCAGTCTCGGGACAGTGAGTTCCTGTTTCCTCACGCCTTATAAACCTTTCTCTGCCCAGCCATCTTACTTCCTGGAATTAAAGGCACATATGCTTCCCAAGCAAAGGCAGGAGATCTCAAGTGTTGGGATTAAAGGTGTGTTTCACCACACCTGGCTCTGTTCCCAGTGTTGTCTTGAATTCACAGAGATCCACCCAGATCTCCACACAAATCACTGTCTCCCAGTGACAGGATTAAGGATATGTGCCATTCATTACATTCTGACATCTATGTCTAATCTAGTGGCTGGCTCTGTCCTCTGATCCCCAGATAAAATTTATTGGGGTGCACAATATATCACCACACTTACTAATCATGTCTCATGGCATATCAACTTGATGAGTCTATTAAGAAACTGTCCCCAATTCCCATGAGACTAGAGAAGACAGGAGGGGTCCTGAAGAAGTCACCCGGAGTTCTTCTGGCTGAAGTGAAGTCTCCTGAGGCAGCTGTGAGATGTCTGCAGTGGTGTAACGGGATCCAAGCCTTCTGAGGCTGAACTCAGCAGCAGCCATTGTCACAGTGATCTTGGCAGCTGGGGTGGTGTCTCCTCTGAGCATCCCTGGGTGTTCACATGAGCAGGCTGCCAGGATGAGGGTCTGACCAGTCATCTATGGGATTGTCCATTCATCATCTCCTCCCTGCAGTCAGCTAAGCACAGGGAAGGAGCCTCAAAGCTGTTACTCCAGTGGTCATGTGACTTGACATGTCAGTTTCCATTGCTCAAAAGGAGAAAAAGCAAACGAGCCCACAGCAAAGAACTAACATTTAGGTCAAATCCCCTCAGGGTGAATGAACATTACTGTTGGAATGGGGAGCAGACATGGGTTCTAGCGTGACTACCAGTGTTTGCGATTTGTGTTCCCAGGCCTGAGCCAGTCAGTTAAAACAAGTACTAGAGGAATCCAGGCAAGGTGGCATATTCCTGTAATCCAATGATTGACTCTAGAGATAGTAAGACCATGAATTAGAGGCTGTCATTAGTACCTGCTTAGCTTGAGGTCAGCCTGGGCTACATGAGACTCTGTTTCAAAACTAAACAAACAGTAAGCTAACCATAAATCCAGAGTCAGCAAAGCCATGGAGGCTGGTTATCTGTTAGTTCACTTTGGTAGGAGACAGAGAACTTGAAGATATCACCAGTTTTTTCTTTAGATTCTCTCAAACAAATCATGTGACTATTTATAGTTTCATTTAAGCAATATACAGTGTTGAAGAGGAAATTGGGAGTTTCTCCATTTCTGTGACCTCAAACTCAGTGACAGGTAAGTTTCTGTCTCCGGCCTTAGCTCTCTGCAGAAGATGGGAGAATTCATGCAAAAGACTGAGCGGATTACCCAGCCCTGCTCACTCAGCCTTAAGACACTTTAGAGTCCCTTCTTGGGGCTCCCCTGGCAGGGGTGCAGGGAGGTG